TGATTTCACATCTAATAATTGTACTTCTTTGCTGAATAATAAAAATACAATTCAATGTCATTTTGTTCCTTTACATTCTGCTACTTTGTGTATTGATTCTGATTCTTTGCGTTCTTTACATGTTGCTCAACTACATGCTAATAATTTGCATGATACGGCTTCTAATAATTCTAAAACAGATGCACTGCATTCTCATTCACTTGTTAAAACTTTACATTCTCTTGACAATACTGATATTTCATCTGCTGGTTTGTTGCATGCTAATCGTTCATATCAATCTGATTCAATGTATGATAGCTTACAAATAGATATGTTACACTCTCAATTGCATGACTTTAGTGCACCATGTTCAGCTGCCCTAGTATCTGCATCTAGTAAAATCAGTGACACTGCTTTAATTTGGCACAGAAGAGTTGGTCATCCTCATGCTGAGGTGTTTCACAAAATCATGGATCAACTTCCCAAATCAACCTCAACCTTTAAGAACTCCAGCATATCATCTACATTGCCTTTTTGTGATGCTTGTCATCTAGGTAAATTGCATAGGAATAATTTTCCACTCTCTCACTCAAGAGCTACTTCTCCCTTAGAACTTGTGCACAGTGATGTTTGGGGACCAGCCCCTATAATGTCTCTTGAAGGATTCCGATATTATGTTGCATTTATAGATGACTTTAAGAGGTTTACCTGGCTTTTTCCTTTAAGGACTAAAGGTGAAGTTAGGTCTACCTTTATTAGATTTCATCACTTAGTTGAGAGACAATTTAACACCAAACTTAAGTGTTTACACTCTGATCAAGGAGGAGAATATAAAGGACTTATTTCTTATCTAAACAGTTGTGGAATTCAGTTTCAACACTCTTGTGCCTATGTGCATCGACAAAATGGTAGGAGTGAAAGAAAGCATAGACATGTAGTGGAAATTGGTCTAACTTTGCTTGCACATGCTTCTATGCCTTTGCAATTTTGGTGGAATGCATTTGATACAACAATTTTTTTTAATTAAAAGAATGCCTTCCTCTGTTTTGAATTTTATTTCTCCCTATCAAATTTTATTTCATAATTCTCCTCTTTATTCTACTTTGAAAGTGTTTGGTTGCACTTGCTATCCTTATTTAAGAGATTACCACCAGCATAAGTTCAATTTTCATTCAGAAAAATGTGTTTTCTTAGGATATAGCTTGGTTCATAAAGGGTACAAATGTTTAAGTTCTAGTGGTAAAGTTTATATTACACCAAATGTTAAGTTCACTAAGCTGGAATTTCCTTTTGCTCATAAGTTTAATCTATCAACCTCCACTTCCAACACTTTAGTAGAGTCTCATACTGTCACACCTATAATTAGCTTTCCGTTTGAGTCTATTAAAACCTCAAATTCTAATGATACAACTTCTGCTGATGGATCTCTACTTGCAACTGTATCTTGTGGTCCTTCTAATTCCTGCTCAGCAGATGTTCAGCATGATTCAACCTCAGCAGTTAAATCCTCTTCTCCCAGCTCTAATACCAAGTGAAATTCGTAAATTGAGAGAAAAACTAAAAGAAATTAAAGCTTCATTTTGTGTATTTTGATTGAATGAATCAATAATACAGTAAGGATTTGCTACTTAAGTGAGTCAGTAGCTAAGAGAGTGTGAAGAGAAAAGGGAAAGTGAAAATACAGACATTCGTTCTCTTTAAGAGAGAAACACAAAACGACAGTGTTTTTGTGTTTGCTTAGTTAAATATTTGCTAAGCCCTTAACTTCTGAATTCTAACACTTTAATCCACATGCCCACTCAAATCTAACTCCTTAGTCCAGGTTTCCAAATCCTAGCATTTTAATCCACATTAATTAAATATGAAGTAATTTACAATTTTACCCTCTTTTAAATAAAAGATGGGGGGTTACTGATAAAATTAATAAATTAATAGGGGCTAAATCGTTCTTGTAACAATCTTGTCGACAGCATTTGTCTGGTTCAACTCACCCCTTGGTGGGATATGATTAGTGAGTCCAACTTACCTCTTTGTTGGTTTGAGAAACCAAAACCCAAATAGTAAATGATAACCTTAGGTTAACTTATTTTGACACTTGTCATGGATTAAGTGTTTGTTGACTACCCAAAAAATTAGCATATTAAAAAAAATAAAGGCTCCGTTTGGTTCAAAATTTGGGGGTTTTGGGAAAAGTTTTTTGAAAAAAGTTAAAAAAAAGTTGAATTAGGCGGGTATTACGATGTAGAATTTATAAATTAATAAAATATCCCATATATTTGTTTTTTTACAAAATACCCCCTATAATAAAACATTAAAAGTTAACAAAAATACCCCTAACCCACCCTCAAACACCCCCAGTCGGCCACCACCACCGGAGGTGGCCGGAATCATCTTATGGGCGCATGACCGGCTGGATCTTGCCGGTCATGCGCCGATATGGGCAAAGGCCAGATCTACGGCCAGATCTGGCCGTCAACCGCCAGATCTGGCCGTAGATGCTCTCAACGACGGCCAACAAACGGTCGTTGTTGATGGTCAACGACGACAGTTTGTTTGGCCGTTGTGACCGATTGTTACGGCCAAAGATCTGGCCGTCAACGGCCAGATCTTTGGCCTTAGATCTGGCCTTTTCCGGCCAGATCCACCGTGGATCTGGCCGGAAAAGGCTAGATCGGCGCACTACCGGCCAGATTCAGCCGGTAGTGCGCCATCCTACCAGATTCCGGTCATTTTCCGGTGGTGGTGGCCGGAATCTGGTAAATATGGATTATTGGGGTGTTTTTGTAATTTTAAAAAAAATATTTAGGAGTATTTAATTAAATTATCAAATTTAAGGGGTTTAAAAAAAGTTGAATAATATTGGGAGTAGTATTCCCAAAAATCTGAGTTTTTGGGTATTTTACTGTTTAACTTTTTTGGGAATACTAAAAGTAGTATTCCCAAAACTGAAACAAACGCAAACCAAAGGTTTCCCATTTCCCTATCCATTTGTATTCATACGGATCGCAACGCTTGTCTCTTTCTCCCTTAAGAACTTGTTACTTCTCCACTTAAAATATACACACTATGAATTTTTCTTTGACTAAGTTGGGCACTGGCCAGAAAAAAAAAAAAAAAAAAAAAAAAAAAAAAAAAAATTCTATGAGTAAGATGAATTGGAATCTTGTAAATTATAAGTATTTAATTGAGGCAATCATTCATCGGTCTTTTTACTCTTACTGTATTCTCTAGATGTCATTTTAGTAGACCAAGTCATTCATTGAATTTCTTTGTTCTTTCTTTTTTTTCATCTTAATCTTTATATATTTACTGTCATAAATTTCAGAGAAAGTCTTTAGCAGAACTAACAAATCACAAGTATCTAATAAAATATCCTTAGATTTTAATGGCCTTTATAGTTTGCATTTCAATTGCCAAGTTATAACTTGAAATACCGATTAATTGTAGAGCTAAACAAGATCATGCCCAGTAGAATATAAGCTGTGTATAAAATGTTATAACTTTTTGAAAGAATATTAGAATTAATGTATTTATATAAGATAATAGTACAAAGTTTTACATACAAACTAATATAAAATTTAATAAAATGAGATAACGAAAACTAAGAAAATAGGTTAGACAAACTAACATAGACGATGTAATGATAGATATAAAACAATATCAAGTCAACTATATTTACAAATTTTGTTAGATAGTATTGATAAACTCTTTCATATTGACAATTGAAAAAGTTTGTCTTTTAATGTTTAACATTTTTTTTTTTTTTTTGGTAACCAAAGTGTCCGGACTAGTTTATGTGCACTTCAACTAATCTTCGGGGTCCATTGAACACCCTATAAGCCCAAATGATTAGATAAACCAAAATGTTATTGTAATAGATGACTCCAAGGTTTGAACCCAAGAACTCATTTTTTTTTTTTTTGTAACTAGGGTGTCCGGGCCAGCTTACGCGCATTTTAACTAATCTCTAAAGTCCATTAAACACCCTACAAGCTTAAAAGACCAAATAAATTATAATGTTATTATGATAAGTAACTCTAAGGTTTGAACCAAAAAACTCAAGGAAGGAAGCAAACTTTCTTGACCGTCAGGCTAACCATTGGGGTTTTAACTTTTAATATTACCATAATATTAAAGCGTAGTTAAAAAAAACAAAATGCGAATGTCGCCTTTTCTACGCATCGCCGCAGTTCATACTTTTGACTCTAAATAAGAAGGTTGACTATGATCAGACTGCTTAGTTTGTAGTTCATGAAAAAGGCAAACTAAATAAGCTGTAAAGGCAAAGGAAAAAAAAAAAAGTATTTAACTCGTTGTGAATTAGTCCTGGGTGCAACTTGACACTCGATCAATTTGAATACGAGACTTTAGAAACTACAAAAAGGGTGGGTTGATTTCTTTTTAATGAGTAGTTGAAATGCCAACCACACTTGACAGTAGATTACAGCTTTTTTGAACAAATATTTCAAACCTTCTAGTCACTGAATCTAGGTAGCTTCCTCATAACACCGACCAAATGTTTTCGAACCAGAATTCCCTCCTGATATGAGTTTTTACCAAGTAAATAAAACTTATGATCGGTAGATACAGGATGAAATTATAACAAAGATAATAGATTTTTATCATAAATTAATTAAACTACATCTGAATAATGAGATCATTAAAAGCTCTAGAAAGTAAATTTTCGGAAGTAAGACTCTGTAAATATGTCTCTTTATGTAGAGTTGTTCTTGTTGTATAAAATTGACTGCTTCAAGGAACTTGCTCTAGTTGTACAATGTTAATGGACATCGTAAAGGCAGTTGGGTTCCCACTATGTATTTTTTTCAACATATATACATATTATTTAAAATATGTAAAATGAACTTGTCAAAGACAGGAAACTTCATGCATGCACCATTACAGAATTGATTTAAAGATTGAAGAAATCACTATATAAACTTCATCATTCTTATTTGTTTTCATTCAAAACTTGTCCTTTAATCTCTTATAGAGGAGAAGAAGAATTTAGAGTTGCCAAAATGGCCAGGATTTGGCCTCATATTCTAGCTTGTGCCTTGGCATTGTGCCTTGTTGCCTCTAATGTAACTGCTGCCTACAAGGCTCCCACTTATGCTTCGCCACGTCCAAGGACACCGTATATTTACAAGTCGCCGCCACCTCACTCTCACAAGCCACCAAATTCTTATCCTTACAAATCTCCTTATGTTTACAAGCCACCACCACAACATTCTGCATCCCCTCCTCCTCCATCGCCGCCTCCGCCTTCTCCTTCACCACCTCCTCCTTACGTTTACAAGTCCCCGCCACCACCTTCTTCTTCACCACCTCCTCCATATGTTTATAAGTCCCCGCCACCTCCATCACCCTCGCCTCCTCCTCCTTATTTTTACAAGTCGCTACCACCACCACCACCCTCTCCTTCCCCACCACCTCCATATGTTTATAAGTCTCCTCCTCCACCATCTCCATCACCTCCACCTCCTTATGTCTACAAATTCCCTCCCCCACCATCTCCCTGTCCCCCTCCTCCATATGTTTATAAGTCACCCGCACCTCCAACTCCATCTCCACCTCTTCCATACATTTACAAGTCACCACCACCACCACCACCTTCACCCTCCCCTCCTCCTCCATACATTTACAACTCCCCACCTCCACCTCCACGTTCACCATCACCTCCTCCTCCATACATTTACAAGTCTCCACCACCACCTTCTCCTTCACCTGCTCCTCCATACATTTACAAGTCCCCACCGCCACCTTCTCCATCACCTCCTCCTCCATACATTTACAAGTCTCCACCACCACCTTCTCCTTCACCTCCGCCACCTTATTACTACAACTCATTACCACCTCCTAAAGATTACTAAACAAGTCACTTTCTCTACTCAGAGCAAGTCCACTTCATCAATGCACAATGTTAGCTGATAAAATTGGTTTGATTACATTTTGGAGGCAGATTTGCATAATTTAATTCATCACTCTGTTGGTCAGAAAAATAACAATCTTAAAGAAGACATCATGTTAAACTTCTTTGTAGCTTTTCAATTGTACTTTCTACACAATTTATTTCTGTTTTTACAAAGTGTTATATTCAATAAAATTCTTGTTCCAGAAATAATGGAACTTTTATATTAATTTGTAGTTTATATATAGTACTGATAGTTCTAGAGCTAAACTGAGAGAGGAGAGAAGAAGAAAAAGGAAAAGTAAACGAAGCTCACAAAACGTGTGTATTCAGCTTAATTTACAATACAGTAAAGTAGCACTTTTATAGTGCTCTGTTAACAGAAATATAGAAATATAAATGACTTAAACTAACCGTAACAGATTAGTAACAAAATAGTAACTAACAGCACTTAACGGTGACTTATTACCATTCTACCTCTTCATTAACATCCTCCCTTAAACTGAACTGGGAGTTTACATTGCTTACTTGTCTACTTGTACCTCTTCCTAAAATTCTGACATTCTTCGGTGAATAAACTGAGACTGAGACTAATTCGGCCTTCCTGAAATTCTGACATTCTTCGGTGAATAAATTGAGACTGAGACTAATTCGGCCTTTAGTTTGTTTTGCTGCATAGTTACTTCACACCTTGCAGAACTGCAGTAGCCTTTCTTTAACACTTGAATGCACTATATAACTGTATTATTCAACACCTACATAAACGACTCAACAGCTATTCAGACCATACAAGATCAATCAACTTATCAGCAATGGATCAGTGTATATTAGACCACCAAGGAAGCTGATTCTGCAGTAGAATCAACCAGCAGAACACTTGAAACTGATTCTATAGTAGAATCAACCAGTAGAACACTGCAGGCACAAAAGTTATCAGAACACTGCCAAATGCAAAATGCACACACATCAGAACACTTCTTCTCTAAGCACCTATAGAATCAACTAGTAAACCACATACACATCACACATCAGAATATTTCAGAACACTACAAAATGCATACACATCACACATCAGAATATTTCTTCTCTAAGCACCAGTAGAATCAACCAGTAAAATAATCATCAGAACACTTCCACTTCTTCTCTAATCACTGCAGTTTCCTTGTTCTCTAATCACTGCAGTTTCTTTTGCAGAATTGCAAGAGGGAACATCAGCTTTCACAGGAGAAGCAGCTACTGTCAGTTCATCTCTAAGAGTTTCAAATCGTGAGGCTGACAAAGATTTGGTGAAGATGTCATCTTTTTGGTGTTAAGTTGGAACATATTGGACTTTTAAGTTGTTAGCAATTACTTGTTCTCTAATGTAGTGAACATCTAGCTCAATATGCTTGGTCCGAGCATGAAAAACTGGATTTGAGGCAAGAGATCCAGCACTCTGATTATCACACCACACAATCGGTATGGTAGGGAGATTTAAGTGCATTTCAGTAAATAAGCTTTTGAACCATGCTATTTCTGTAGCTCCCTAAGCAAGGGCTTTGAACTCAACCTCTGTGGAAGACAATGCCACTACCTTTTGTTTTCTAGCACTCCATTGAAGTAGATTAGGACCAAGGAAAATGCAGCAACCACTAGTTGACCTGCGATCTTGAATATTTCCTGCCCAATCAACATCAGTGAAGCACTCTAGACTGAACATATGAATTTTATGAAACTGAATCACAAAGTTGGTTGTGCCTTTAAGGTATCTAAGCAACCTCTTGCAAGCTTGCCAATGTAGATGAGTAGGAGCCTTGAGAAATTGGCTCAACTTGTTTACAGAAAATGCAATATCAGGTCTTGACAAATTTAAATATTGCAAGGCCCCAGTTGTGCTCCTGTACATTGATGGTTTGTCAAACAGTTCACTGTCTTCAAGAGTTAATTTGTTCCCTAACACCATAGGAGTAGAGCATGGCTTAGAGTCCATCATGCTAGTTTTTGTCAACATATCCTTGGCATATTTTTCTTGACACATATGGATGCTGGATGCTGATTGATACACCTCAAAACCTAGAAAATATTTAAAGGATCCCAAGGTTTTCAAGGCAAACTCATCCTTCAGCTTATGCACTATTTCTTGAACTAAGTGAGAGCTACTTCCAGTCAAAAGAATGTCATCAACATAAACTAATACATAAACCACCAGATCATTGAGCTTGCAAATGAATAAACTTGGATAAGCTACTGAACTAACAAACCCCCATTTCAGAAATGCAGTTTTAAGTTTCTCAAACTAGGCTCTTCGAGCCTGTCTAAGTCAATACAAGGCCTTGACCAGTTTGCATACATGGAGTGGGTTTGCAGGATCAACAAAACTAGTAGGTTGAGTCATATACAATGTTTTACTGAGTTCCCCATTCAAAAAGGCATTGTTGACATCAACTTGTTGGATGTCCCATCTATAGGTGACGGCTATGCTTAGTACAACTCTAATTGTGGAGGATTTGATGATAGGACTAAAAGTCTCAAGATAATCAATTCTCGGAGTTTGTTGGAAGCCTTTGGCAACTAACCAGGCTTTATATCTTTGAATAGAATCATTAGAGTTGTGTTTAATTCAAAAAACCCACTTACAACCTACCACATTCATATGAGATTCTACTGGAACAAGCTCCCAAGTGTTATTGGAAAGTAAAGCAGTGAATTCACTCTCCATAGCAGCTTTCCAAGAAGGTTGGGAAAGTGCTTCAAAGACACTTACTGGTTCATTATTGTCAAGGTGAGAAGAAGTAGTGGTAGAAGAGACTAAAATAGAATTATGAAACTTAGCTTTGGACCTAGTAATCATGGGGTGATTGTTTAAAGGTTTTGGCTCAATCGGTAGGTCAACTACAAGGTTAATGCCTTCAGGTGATTCTGAATGTGATGCTGGCTTGAATGGTGATGTATCAAAAGGAAGTTCAACTGTAAGATGAATAGGTTTAGGTGACTTAAAACAAGGAGAAGACTCACTAATTTGGTTAACAGTAGGGCTGACAGAGGTGGACTTATTACTTTGATATGTAGGAAGACTGACAAAAGTAGACTCATAAGGTTGATGTGTAGTAGGATTGTCTAAAGTAGACTCACTAATCGGATTAGCAATAGGACTGACATAGGAGAATTCATTAACCTGGTCTGCTAAGTTGGGAGAGCGTAGTAGTGATGAGTTCTGCTCAACATTCATGCATGGAAGGGGAAAATGTTGGTCAGTAACAACAGGAGACAAAGATTTGGTGAAGATGTCAGCTTTTTGGTGTTCAAATACAATTCCATTAGCAGATAAAATTTCAACAAATCCCTTCATTTTAACAAAGTACTCGTGAATACTAAGGTTGTCTTTTTTGGTATTTTGCAATAAGTTTCTGATATGTAGGGTTTTGGTTCCTGATTCAGTAAGGAACTGTAATGACTCTCTCTCTAGCTAGTATACTCATAAAATAAACAGTAAAATTAACTAAATATATATATTACGAAAATATACATGTAGATGAGTATAAAATAATGGGCCCAAATTTTCTTTATATATACAAAATTATACATAGTGTAAATAAATTTCTCAAGAAGCTCAACAGTGTTGCCCTGACCCTTCCGCATCTTGACATTCCAAGCAACCGCATCTCATCTACTACCTGCAAAAAACATTGAAAACAACGGCGTGAGCACTAATTGCTCAGTAAGTAAACCCGCTATGCTAGCCTTCTATCTCCGTTTCTCATATTCTGAATTCTTTCCTTACATCACACTTCTCTCTTCTTCTCTGTTCTTTTCTATTCTTTCTCTTTGTTCTTTCTCTATTCTTTTTCTGTTCTATCTCTCTGTTCTTTCTCTATTCTTTTTATCTATTTTTCTGTTCTATTCTTTCTTTCTTTCTGTTCTGTTCTTTCTTTATGTGTTCTATTCTTTCTTTCTTTCTATGCCGATTGGACTCGGTTGAGGCATGGATTCGGAACCTTGGCCATGTGAGTGGGTACAATCCTCATCTACATGCACTTCTATTAGACTGTACAACTATTCTTTCTGATTCTGAGGCCGCTCACTAAAGGCGGCGTGCATGTAGGTAAATTCTTCTGGTACAGTTCTCATCCACATACGCTTCTAACTAACTGTACACTTACTTCTTTCTGATTCTGAGGCCGCTCACTGAAGACGGCGTGTATGTGGGACTATTCTTCTCTGTCACTCACGGGTTCCCCATTGCAACAACCTATTCTTTTCTCTTCTTTAACACTTTTCTTTCTTTTATTCTCTAGTGCTTTTTCTTTCTTTCTCTTTACTCTTAGAGTGCTTTATTCTTTAAAATTCTTTATTCTATCTTAAGTTATTGCATACATGCAAATAAATGTATGTGGATGGCTTATGCTTATAATTCTTTCTTAGATGCACTCATGAAATGCAAATATGCAATGTTGCATGAAATTAAGGTTCTCTACTCATACTCATGCTTCTCTTGGGCATTTCATCAAACAATAAATGTGCAAACATAAATTCTACTTTAGCTATAACTCTTCTTCTTTCTTTAACCATCCAAAATGGGAGTAAAGCTCCCTTGGATCATTACAAAACCTTTCAAGGAAAAACACTCCCAAAAGTTTACTCAAACTTTCAACTTCAATCAAACTTCAACCCATCATCATACAATCAAAGCACTTCTCATAATTCAAATATGTCCAACAACATCCATACTTGAAAAAAAAAACTAATAAATTGGAAGCATTTTGAGGTAGTCATTCTGCACATGTCATATTTAGAAGGCATAACTGGATATATACATATCGGATGCTATGGTCCTGGTCTCGTTTTAAAGCTTAGAGACAGGGCTACAACTTTTATGTTGAAGTCTCAACCCAGTTAAGTCTGTAAAATACCCAAAATCACTCAGAAGGTCATGGATGTGACAGGGTAGCCATGGTAACAGTTTTCTGTTAGGATTTTCATCAA